ACGAACAAAAATGCGCCATGAATACGAATTATTGTCGACCTTGCTGTCTAGTATTCATCAAGTTCGGCTCAAGATCTCCCTTCGACGATTAAATTGACCTTCTTTAAAATTCAGATACAGATCGTCAACATAACATGCTGAACGAAGAGGATTATAATGGTGATATTCTATCCCTGGCAGATCATTTGGAAGCTTCGTGCGTGAAGGTGGAATTGGTGATTGAAATATGCAAATAAAATCCAATCCGTCAATCAGGCTGACGGAAAGGTTTTACTTATTGCATGATTTAAGCTGGGTCTTGTACGACCATTAATTTGAGAATTATAGTCATTGTGGATGATCTATCTATAGGATGTGGAGTGGCTACCATCACCCCTCTACCAAGCAGATGCAAGCGATGTAATCTTTTCTGGAGTCTGAGATAATCCATTTTTTATGCTAACTTTGCGAACAACGAGAAGGTTCTGTATGGAACACGAGAGGCGCGTTTTTTTTGGAAAAAGGACGATTAAAAATTGTGAATAGGGATGAACAATCTGATGACGATGCACGAAGCCGATGGAAGAAAAGCATGATCGCATCCTCTTTTACAAAGTCGAATATCGCTCCAACTCCACTTTAACAATCGATAATCCAGTTCGTTCTCCGGTAATTGTGGTGTATGCCAGAAGGTCGGCTTTTTAAGTGGCACTGATTCGAGAATACAATGGTGTCTATTGGCCTGTGGATTTTATTAGTTGCACTTTGAAAGCGAAAGAGTCCAAATGTGGGAAGGTGATGTAAGAGATATTATAAAGATTCGTATTTTGGATGTATTTCATACATAAGTAATAATGTCCAGGAAAATTTACAGCTCTATCGCGAAATATCTGTCGTGGTTGATGCGATCTTAAGGTATCCTTGTATTAGGACGCTGGGCCATTAGGTTTTAAAAATGGACCATGGAGGTAAATACACTTGAGAAGAATGAAGAAGAGAGCTTAAGTGTGCTGAAGGCTAGTCCAAAGATGCGCAGGGAATTAGACAATGTGTTGATCGTAATTAGTCCGTGGAAGGATAGTCGGCTTGATATCGATGTATCAACCTACATTAAAGTCGGAAGACGGTTTATAGTAGCCGGATCTGATGGATCGGCTAGAACACTAAAAAGAAGTGCGTACAGTACAGTAATATGGAAAATCCTAGAGAGTACGATATTGTCAGCAGAATCTAGGTAGGCAACCGTCTATCGATGAGCGAGGTCAAGTATAATAACATGCTAGTATATTTGTACTTAATCTCCTGTCTGTACCAGGTGTGGGTGATTGTGCGTCGTGTTATTGATTTGGTATGTTTGGCAGATGCGAGGTAAGGTCGACTCCAAAGCACCGTGCTTTCAAGTTTAATACACGAAGCATTAGGAAAAAATTGCGATCCTGCCGAATCTTTTAGTTCTTGCACAATAAGATAGGCTGGAACCAAAGTGCAGATCAGCTAGACATTATTTTGTTGCAAAAAAAATTAGGAAATGACATTGTTATGGAAAAGGGTCGTCAAGATCAAATTACTCTGAATCTTCTGATCGAATTCCTGAAGCCGAGACAAGACCGATATGGTTGCAAGAGCAAATGGTATCACTGGATTGATGCAGATGAGATGGCAACAGACAGGTATTTAAGGATGAGTCGGTGCGGAGAATATGAAGTGGAGAAATTAGATTAGATCAAGCTCAAGATGAAGAACGTTGGAAGGTAGTACAAAGAACTGTCTGTAGGGGACGTATGAGATATAAGTTCACAAGATGCGAGTTCGTGCTCCAAGATTGCGTCTTATTATGAAGTCGATGAGAGCGATCTACCTTTTAATTGTATGATCTCGAAGAAGGAGTCAAAATATCGCGATGGTTAGTGTGTCTAGTCATACCAGAAACGACACAACAAGACTTATTGTACCTTATTACCACGCTTCTACGGAAGGGAGCCATCTAAGGATCGGAGATGCTTACAGCGTATCGTATTGTGATGCTACTGTAGAGGACTATAATTTGAGGATGCAACCTTATGTGGGTACATGAACGGACTGTGACCAAAAAATGGTGTCCGGATATCCAAAGCAAAATCTAATGAATAATCACGACGGAAAAGCGACACCCGCAGACCGCAATCGGCAGATTGGTATAGTCGGTGCGTGCGTGGTGGATGTATTTGCAGATCAAGTGGCTACACATAACATAAAATACGAGAAAACACCAAAAACGTTGCACATTTTGTGGTCACGTCTGCTGTGCAAGAACCGAATGACGAATCATATGTATAACCGACATATGTGTGGTATCTGCTGAATTATCAGGTACTCAAGCACATCACGAACGACATCTTCGAGCGCCCGGCCGATGCGAAAGGATCGATGATTTAGCTTTTGCGTCAAGTCGGTCAGAATAGTGAAAACTGTACGAGAGACACGTACATTTACATACTTTCAGCCAGAAAATATTAGCAGGAATGCGCCAAGCACATCTTTGTGGCTTTTTACTAAACAACAGATGGAAAGATCATGCCACATGGCTGACATATCTTTTGACAAAGTATAAACATGGTCCAGCTGCTATAGACAGACTGTATACGTGCGTTATCGATCTCCAAAAAAAGGCACAGCAGGATAAAATTCAAGCACTTTTTCGTGCTTTCTTATTGTAACGGATAATATCCGTGTGCTTTGATAGAAGGCAGGGGAAGGCGACTATTTCTCCGATGTGTGAGAACATACGAACGTGTTTTGAGACTCCCATATAGATGGTGTTTGTAAGTGTTTAAAAATGTGAGAGGCGTCCGCGTCCGCGGCACTAGACAAGATGGTCGTCATGCTTAGTGATTTGTCGGAACGAATGTGCAGGATGGAATCCAAACATTAGGAATAAGTCGACAAGTGACGAAAATTATCTTCAGGACCGTGCGTTTTTTTGGTTCGGCCTTGGAAGCAGGGCAGGGTACAAACCCCCAGGCTTTGGAGCGTTCTCCTACTCCCAAGCGGTCACCGAATGTCTCGCCGGCCAACTACTTTGGGTCCCCATGACCAGCTTTTGCTGGAAACGTAGCTGATCTACCGGCTCAAGACCATGGTGACTATGTGATGAATGCATGACCAGCACTTGGAGTGCAGGACGCATCGCCAGCACCGTACCCAGGTGCGGGTGCACCAGGTCCGATGTATTTCTACAAAGCCCAAGTACCCATGGGTCTACCTGACGGTCGTCAGCACAAATTAGCGTTGCAGTCATTCGATGAAAAGGAAATCTACCATGGCCTTGGTTGTGGTTTTCTAGTATGGGTCCATGAGTTCGTGCGTCAAGTTGGGTTCTCCGAGCACGCGTCGGTTATTTTGGCCTAAAGACATCAATGTTGATGTACTTGGTCAACACCTTGCCGGAACCACGCAGAAGTATTACCGCCGGCAGGTGGAAACTTGGTGGTCTAAGAGTTAAATCTTGTAGCGGGCAATGCAAAAGTTGCTCCAAACTTTCAACATCAAGATAACACATGCCCAGAATATGAAGCTATTCACTGCAGCCAAGTCGTCGCATCGAAATTGGACAGAACAATTATTGTATCTCAATGCTGTGCACGATGCCTGCGGAGGCGCAGACAACCTCGTTTTGGACAACATTGTTCAATACGAAGACTTGACGATGCGCACGACAATTCTTTTCCGTTTGATTATGCATAGGGCCGACGAATTGTGGCAAGCTTAAGAGTAAACACACTTTGCACAATCGACGGAGATCGACGTCCGTGTCAAGCAGTATGGTCGTAGGGCAGTAAACGTCATAGGATCGGTCAAGGATGTCAAGAAAGTTGAACCAGTCAAGAAGTGGCGTGAAGACCAAGGCCAAAGGAGATGCTGCCTCTGTGTAGACTCGGGACAGTTCAAGGCCTCCTTTTGTATAGGATTTAAAAAAAACAAGATGCGGATCATTTCCTCACATTCTATGATGCAGACGCAGATTTGACCCAAGGTACCACCAATTGGGTGCTGGACAGTGGGACAGGGCGTCATTTATTCAATGAATTGAGCCTGTTGAAGGACATAGTTGACTGCAATCATGTATTTTTTACCTCAGCGTCTGATGAAGGACCTCTTTGAATCACGAAGCAAGGCAGTGCAATGATCCGCGTTAAAGCACTCGAATTCACTAAGACCATCCGACTTCTCGATATTGACTACGCCTCCAATTTAAGCGTGACATCATTCCCTTCGGAAATTTGTAAAAGAAGGGATGCGTGCTTGACTATTGTGGAGAGAGGAGTATTCTAGTCTCTCATCCTGGTGGATCATCTATCATGGATGTCAATCGCATTAACGATGTGTTGATTGTGATGATAACGACGACTTTTGTAACGAACGATTTTCATGTTAATGGCTCACCACTGTAGAAGGTCATGGTGATTGCAAATGGTGTTGAAGATGAGGATAAAAATAAGACGAACGTTCAACATGGAAGCTTGCTGTAATTCCATCGGCATTTGGGTCATCTATGCTACAACACTATCGTCAAAATGTCCCGTGACCCTGCGTCTGGTATCACATTAACAGATATTAAGCGTGTTACCTGCTTGGCCTGTGCACAAGGCAAGCAGACGAAGAACCGACGATCTCGCACGGACAGTGGTAACCATTTTCCAATTGACGTGATAGGAGGAGTCACCTGATCTGATCCTAAAGGTCCCATGACTCTTTGCGATCGGCTCGGAAATGTATACATGATTAAATTTGTCGATTATCGGTCCAACTATTACCGGGTATTCTTGGCAAAAACGAAGGATGTTGCCGAGATCAATTTCAAGCATTTCATGTCGGTTTTCGAGCGACATTTAAATTGCCGAATTTGTGTCGTACTCACGGACGGTGGAGGCGAATACAATGCTCTGGATGTGTTCTGCAAAGTCACTGGTGTCACTTGCCAAATAAGCGAGCTTGATAATCAGGCCAGCAATGGAAAAGCCGAAAGGATGCATCGCACAATTATGAACATGGTGCGAAGCATGGTGTGTGCAAGCGGACTAACTTTGAATTTTTGGGGTGATGCTGCTGAGCATGCAGCTTGCATGCTTACCCGAAGTCCGACTAAGGAGAACGACGGTGGGGTCTCACCTATTGAGGTACTCAACTTGAAGAAAACTAATCTAAGTGACATCCCGGTGTTTGGTTCGACGCGCACAGTTCACTTGCACATAGACAATAAATCGCTGGGTGCGCGTGAAAAGGCGACAATCATCATTGGAAAGAACGAAGAAATGAAGGGATACCGTGTCTACCTGACAAAGGAGCGCGTATTCGTAGTCACGCAACATGTGAAGAACAATGGGACCCTGAACACAATGCAAAATGACGAAGCATCAGAAGATCACGATAATGCTGAAGGTTTGGAGGAGTCCCAAGATGATCACGACGAACGTCCAGCAACGAGTCGTTCATCCGGATAGGCGCGTGATAGACATGTGACAAGATCGATCAGCAAAAATTAGGATGGGTCAAATGATTAAACTAAGAGCTAAGATGATCAAGACATTGTCAGCATCGTGACCGAGCCAGACCCAAGGAACTACGGTGAGGCTGTGCGAAGTCCATCAAAAGGAAAGTGGCACGTAGCGATGACCGAATAGCGGACTCCTTTGGAGTTAAATGGAGTGTGTACAGTGGTGGTACCGCCCGAAAATTCGCACGTCTTGCATAACAAGTGGGTGTTCAAGACGAAAAACGATGCCAGTGGAAATGTGTGCGGTACAAGGCTAGACTGGTTGTATGCGGATCCCAGCAGCTATTTGAGATCAGCTACACTCTGTATTTTGCTGCAGTCATGCTTCTTGGCACTGTAAAGGTCATTTTAGTGTTGTCGCGTCTATGGAATGTAACTGCACGCCACATGACGTCCCAAATGTCTTCGTCAAGGCAGAGAAGGGGAAAGATCTCGACATTTACATAAAGTTGCCAAGTGGAATGCAAGTGAGTCAAGATATTTTGGATAAACACGAAGTCAAGAACCGAAAACAACTTGCTTTGCGTTTAAAATGTTTTTTACGGGTCGAAGCAAGCTGGACGTCTGTGACGTCAACTGTTACACTCGAAGTTGTTTGAATTTGGTTTCCTTCAATGTACGACGGACATGTGCTTTACGTTAAGTATATTGACAAGGCCACAACGATTGTTGAGGTGTAAGTCGACGACCTTTTGGTCACAAGTACTTCAATTGAAGCTGTAGGGAAGTGTTTCTATAGCGCAATGTCCCTCGAAATCAAGGTTCTAGGCGTCGTCAACAAGTTTCTGGAATTATAGATTCTGCTGGATGACAGTTGTGGATACATGCCGAACCAAGAGGTGATTATAGACGTGTTGCTGAAGGACCGTGGACTGGAGTCGGCTAATGGTGTTTAAGCTCCTATTGACAAGGACTTCAATTAAGTAGATCCTAAAGTTACAGACACGTAAATTTGCGGTAGCTGGAGTTGGACATGCGAGCGTCAAGGCTTTCCAGTCACTCGTCGGTAGTCTACTTTGGATTGCGCACTGCACACGACTGGACATGAGTTTTGCGATATATCATTCGACAAGGCAGACACACAAACTAAGCATGGAGCATCGAAAGATGGCTAAGAGCATTGCAAATTATCTAGAGGGATGAAGTCGTTGAAGTTGCTTATTGACAGTTCAAGAAAATCAGTGGACCTAACCAATATCGAGAGCTGAAGTGACGCGGACTTTGCAGCAGACAAGTCGGACCGCAACTCGGTCACGGGATGCGTTTTGACGATGGATGGAAAAGTGGTGTCATGGGCGTGCAAGAAGCAGACTGGCGTCGCCCTGAGCACCATGGAAGCTGAGTTCATCGCGTCTTCACAGGCAGGGCATGATTTTTTAGGGCTGAAAGAACTATTCGGCGAGCTGGAAATGAAGGTCGTTGAGCCCATTCCGATGGGGTGGACAATCAAGCCGCCATCAAGCAACTAGACAGCAAGAAGAGTATGTCAAGCGCAAATCACATTGGCATTCTTTTTAAGCATATCTGCCACTACGCTCAAGCCAAGATGGTCATGCCTAGTCATGTTAAGTCTGGAGACGTAATTGCAGACCGATTGACGAAGGCAATGCCAGCGGCGCATACTGTGGACTTACGCAAGATTAATAAGTTATAGGCCATTCATGATGACGTCGAGGAGGGGTGTTAGAATATATCCTTTCCGACAGGTCAAGAAGGTTCTGGATGTCAACTGCAAGACCTAGTACAGGTAATTCAGACCTCACCCCATTGGCTGATGATGTGTCAAATGACAGATGGAACAGGAGAGACGGGCGTCAAATGACGGGACGACACATGGGGCCAAGAGAGACGGACGTCATATGACTGGATGTAACATGGAACAGGGAGACACGATCACCACGTGAGACTTGACATGGTCAAGTTGTAGTTTCCGTTTTTTGTCTTGCATATCGTAGTGTTAAAGGAAGTAAGTTCTTACCACACTATACATTCACGTGTACCTTTACCTCAGTACACAACGTCATGAATTTACAAAGACAAATCATCCAAAGTTAAAAGTAAAACTGTTTATAGCGTAGTGAATCCCTCATAAAGTACCAATTTGACTTCATTTAACTGTGTCAAAAAAATATGTATTAAAACTATCTGCGCACTACTCATTGCGTGCTTATGTCGTAAGTAGACTTTTTCTTTAATCTAAAAATCCTATACCAACCAATGACTAGTGTATTCCATCTGCAAGACAACATTTTCTATAAGAATAAGATTGTGAGAATGTTGCGTTTGTACAAACAAATGCTTACTTTACATAAAAACCTTATGTGAATTGTTATGTAATGAAGGCACCCCGTTACACGTAGGGGTTTTTGACGCGGGCGTGCTGCGCATATAGCCACCAGATGAGGGCGCAGATGGCACAGGGGGGATATTAGCATGCTTTTGCATTGTCATCTGCGGTTTTAAATGCAGACAATAGATGCAGATGGTTTTGAGATTGATGGTATTGTCATTGTTTTCTGTTATTTATCGGATTGTATTTCCAGCTGCTGCTGTTTTACGGCTAGATTCGTTGTTGATGGTGTCGTTGTCACGGCTACCAGAGTGGATGAAGCCGCTGTTGTCGTAGTTGTAAGCAATTAATGTTGCTCTGATGCTTTTAATACTGCTGAGGCTAAAGTTGGTGTTGTTGCTGCTGATGTCGTTGCTATTGCTACTGCTGTAAGCTTTCATAACTTTACCACTGTATTTGATCCTGTGTTCGTACTACAGTGCTGCTGTTGTAATTTTTAGTTGTGGGATATGATTTTTTTTACTCGTACGCTAGATATATTATCTTTTTAGCGTTTAATATACGATCATAAATCTGATTTTACCCGTTTGACTATTTACTCGAAAAGGCACACCAGATCTGATGGCAATATTTTATTGCTCTTTCTTGAATTGATCAGCGCATTTAGGATTTTTCGCCGAGGGAATCAAGCTAAAACAACAAAGTTCAAAGGGTGATGACACACATAAATTAATTAGGAAGACGTGTTGACACACTCCAGCATACATGTCGCAGCTTAAAAAATAAAAACACTCTGATTAAAAATGTTAAATGGGAACTTAAGCTATAATTTGTTGGAAGGTATCCAACAGCACTTGGCATGCGTCACTCTAGCAGTTTTATCTGGTGCTAAAAACCTGCTGCGTGGTTTCGATATGCGACTAAATTACGTAACATGTACCCATATATTTAATCGGTCTTAATTGGTGGATCTCTATTGTCAAAGACCCACACACCCACTGGATCCGACCTTTGCTTTATCCACGCTACCAAGCTTGCTTTTTTCTGCACGCTGCAAATATGTATTGGCGTAATGTAGCGTTTAATAGCGAACATTGTTAAAAGACGATATTCCGTACTTAGCCGGTTACCAGTTGTACGCCAATAAATTCTGCATGATAGCGCTAGATTATTCTGTATAAGAGGTAGTTATAGAATGTACGGTGCGTAGGGAAATGTGTGGCAGTGAGAGAGGCCGCTGCACTGAGATTTATCACTTTTCATTCGGTAAACCACTGACGAGGCAGGCAGCGGCGGGCTGAAACGCGTCTGGCACGCGTCCGTAAAATTATTGTATTTTCTATCATGTGTTCTTAGTTTTCTACAAGCATAGCACAAGTCCACACTGTCTGCGGTGATAGTATGCGTGATCTTAACAAAAGGCTTATCGGTTTTAGAAAGACAGACGTATCAGCCTATTGCGTGTGACGATATTATAATAGGTCGAGATCTTCAACTAAGCACAATGTTGGTAAATGTGTACCACGTTTACTTACGCTAACGAGGGCGTGAGGCAATATCTATTTCGTGATTGAATGAGGCATTTCTTTAATCCCCCTTAAATCTATCAACTTTGAGAGCCGTCGTATTCTGCTCGCTTTCGTGATACCTCTGCAGCACACGGAGCAAGAGCATAGGTGTAACGGGGCACCCTGAAGCTTGTACTGGTGACATTACAAGCTACTTATTCTGGTGACAGAATAAGGCGGTGTCTCGTAACTTCACGTACACTCGTACGTGCAGAGGAAGACGGTAAAAAGAAGCGAGTACCTAGTTTAAGTAAAAAGTAGAACTGTATTTAGTATGGTTAATGTCTGCAATAAATCACTATTTATCTTCATCTAACTATGTCTAAATACAAATGTGTAAATCAAATATCTGCTCACCACTCATTGCGTGCGTCTGTCGTGGCGCGTCTTCGTTGGTTGATATAATGGCCTATATCAACCAATTAGGAACAACTCGTAAGTGCTACAGAATATTTGTCCTTATGACAATATTCCGAGAATATAACTCTTATAGTTCTATTCTATTAACAATTTCTTATAAATTGTTATGTAACGATTCACCCCGTTACATCACCCCCCCTTAACCATCAGTCACTTTAGTGACTGATTGACTAAATGGATACTCGTCCCAAATCATTTGGGACAGGGTTTGCACTTGTTGGTCCGAGTCCACATTCCAACAGTTCATCGCATGGTTAACAAGCCCATGCGATGCGCGAGCAAGGCCGCCGAGAGCGCGTCCGCACGTCTCTGTGCGGACACCGAAGCAGAAACCACAGCAACTGATGTCTCATCGGTTGCTGAAGCGACTCAGCCTGTGTCACTTGGTGATGCAGGCGCTGGTCATGAAGACACTCATGTCTTCACAGAGTACGAGCTCGGTGTCTCGTACTCTCCTGATACGGAAGACGGATCCGTATCGACGGCGATTGAATCTAAGCCGCCTGCCAAGCGTGGCATGGATGATGCTATGCGTCGTAGCATCTTTGGTTCATCTGATGAATCAGATGAACCATCGCCGAAGCGTAGGCGCTCGAGGTCGCGAGACTCGGGCGCTAATAGTGGTGTCGGTTCTCCAATGGACACCACTTCACAGCGAGGTGCCAGTACTTCTGTCGGCACGTCGCAGGAAGAGCGGGACCGCAATGTGTTGCGTCTCGCTCCTGAGAAGAAGGCATGGATGCCTCCTAAATCAGTCATGGATCACTTGTCGGCGACGACGAGTGATCGTTATCGAAAACGATTGTTCGATTCGTCAAGGATCCATCACCTTGACCCCAGCGCGAAAAACTATCGCGCTGAGTATGATTTCTTCATCGATGCTTTCTTTAGACATCGATGGTACAGTGGGAATCACAAACGTGATGGTCCCTCACTACTTCAGGCGTGGAACGCCTACATCCATAACCTTGAGGATATAGGTCGTGACGCTTGGAACGACAAACTTATCAAAGCTCGTGATAAGTTTGAAAAGCGAACCCCGACAGGTGCACGCTACAAGCTGCATCGTCTGTCAAGGGAGAAAGGATTACCCTGCCTCTCTTGGGGAGACTCGTGCCCATGTTGTGTGAACAACTCTGCACGAGCACCTAAGGAGGCTTACCTCCTTACTAGCCCGTGGTGGCGCGTACGTATCTCTACTGAGATGTACGAAGGGATTGACAACCTGAAATCCCTTTACGACCGTGCCGGGAAGACTTTCTCCGGCGGTCCTTCTGCGGCACAGGATGTGCCGCGTCGTACTGCTCGACCAGGCCCAGTACGTCGATCATCAGTTGGGAGCGGGGATCCCAAGTATCTTAGGACGGGGGATAGCCGCGCCACCGGACAAGGTAACTCGTCCGACGTCCGTTCACGTCGCGGTGGTTCAACAGCTGCTCAACCAGATAGCGCTGTCCACCGCGAGAGTCCTCTAATGGAGGTGGAGGAGGAGGAAAGACGCTCTCCACACGATCATGTGGATCGGTGTGTTCCGAGAGCTTCTTTGATCGCGTAACGCAAGGGTTACGCGGTGATCTCGAACATGAGCGGGACAGGCGTCTCCAACTGGCGGACGCTGTTTCGAAGCGTCGAGCTGAGTTTGCCTTTGCTCAGCTTGCGAACGAGAGAGCTTTGACGTCGCTGCGTGACGAGCTAAGGGTAGCTCGTGGGATTGTTGATCGGTCTCGGGATGAGATAGCTGCTCTTCAGACCCTTGTTGATGCCCACCATCTGGAGCACAAGGCTCTCTGCGAGATGCTTGAGCGCAAGGGCGTTCTTCATCGGAAGAAGCAGCGTACTGATGGTACGGCTTAAGTCGACCAACGTAGAACGTGGGATGCGTTCGCATCTTACGGCACAGGATGTGCCGCGTCGTACTGCTCGACCAGGCCCAGTACGTCGATCATCAGTTGGGAGCGGGGATCCCAAGTATCTTAGGACGGGGGATAGCCGCGCCACCGGACAAGGTAACTCGTCCGACGTCCGTTCACGTCGCGTTGGTTCAACAGCTGCTCAACCAGATAGCGCTGTCCACCGCGAGAGTCCTCTAATGGAGGTGGAGGAGGAGGAAAGACGCTCTCCACACGATCATGTGGATCGGTGTGTTCCGAGAGCTTCTTTGATCGCGTAACGCAAGGGTTACGCGGTGATCTCGAACATGAGCGGGACAGGCGTCTCCAACTGGCGGACGCTGTTTCGAAGCGTCGAGCTGAGTTTGCCTTTGCTCAGCTTGCGAACGAGAGAGCTTTGACGTCGCTGCGTGACGAGCTAAGGGTAGCTCGTGGGATTGTTGATCGGTCTCGGGATGAGATAGCTGCTCTTCAGACCCTTGTTGATGCCCACCATCTGGAGCACAAGGCTCTCTGCGAGATGCTTGAGCGCAAGGGCGTTCTTCATCGGAAGAAGCAGCGTACTGATGGTACGGCTTAAGTCGACCAACGTAGAACGTGGGATGCGTTCGCATCTTACGTGGCAACTCGATCGTGTATGCATTGCCTAGGCGGTGCAATACACGAAATGGGCCGATGTACTTGGGTAGTAGTTTACTGGTACCCAAGTTAGTCACTACATGCTTTGGTAGATTAACCGTAGACAGTAGGACTAAGTCACCTTTATTAAATAAAAGAGTGTTTGCCCTTCCATTCTTGTCAGCGTTTTGCTTTTGCTTATCCACCGCTTCGGCGATGGAGTCTTGCACAAAACGGACTACCGTTTCACGAGCCAGTATGAACTCATTTGCTGACTCGTTAGCTTCAGTGCGCTGTGAGCGCACTGCAGCAACGTCAATAGTTTCTTCAGTGAGGGCTTCCGCACTCTCACTGGCATCATCTTCTTCGATATCGATGTTATCGATATCGGCATCAAACGCAATGACCTCTTCGTCAGAGCGTGATGAGCGTGAACCAAATCGGTTTTTGCTCGCGCGGGTCTCTCCCCCCTTAAACCAGAGTTGCACTCTAGTAAGGTGGGTACACGCGGATGGCGTAAGCCATTTACGTAAAACGGTGTATGTGTCGTCTAACCATCTAACTCTGGATGATCAGATGTTGACATCTTCAAGCGCGTTCCGAGTGATTTGAACACGGAACGCCAGAAATCAGCAGTGAATCGTGGATCTCTGTCTGATACGAGTTCACGGGGCAACCCATGAAGTCGGAAAGTGGTGTCAATAAAGACACAAGCACAGCCACTTGCCGTGATTGTCTCTGGTACAGCCACAAGGTGTACCATTTTGCTGAATCTGTCAACAAATACGAGAATACCCGTATTCCCGCGTGCGTCTTTGGGTAACCCGAAGACGAAATCCATTGAGATGGATTCCCAGCACTCAGCCGGAACCGGTAGAGGCTGTAAAGGTGCACGCAGTGAAGGACTTGACTTCACTCGTTGACAGACTTCGCATGCGCGAACATACTTTCTCACAAACTGATACTGGCGGGGCCAGTGAAAGTCTCGACTTACCGTGAGATATGTTTTCTCCCGGCCACGATGTCCTCCTATAGGAGCATCGTGATACTCGAACATGATCCGCAAACGCAGATCAGTATCATCTGGAATGACAACACGTGGTGTGTCACCACAAACGGCTGTATAATACAGTAAACCGTTACGATTAGTGTATCGATCTGATGCAGATCATAACGCAGACGACAATAGTTTCAACGATTCTCGAGATGGTTGGGAGAGATGTGTCAACAACTTCTCAATCTCACCATCTTGGGCGTATGCCCGCCTCACATCATCATACAACGTTGTAGATGGGACTGAGGACGTCATAACCGCAACAGTGACTGTCTCACTGTTGAGTTTCACGACTGGTTCAAAGTCGGGTCGACGTGAGAGTGCATCAGCGACGACATTAAGTCGTCCTGGTGTGTACTCTACCGTAAAGTTGTATTCTGCAAAGAATGACAACCACCGCGCCATTCGTTGTGAAAGGTGCGGGCTGTTCACTGCCGTGCGTAATGACGCATGGTCAGTGTAAACAATGAAGGGTCTATCTCCTAATAGATAGACTCTGAACTTCGCGAGTGCATGCTTCATGGCAAGGAGTTCCTTTTCATGCACTGGATAGTTCCGCTCAGCTGGTTGCAGCTGACGCGACTGATAGCAGACGACGCGTTCAACGCTTTCAAGATCGTACTGCATTAATGCATAGCCGATTGCGAAATCGCTGGCATCACAGACCACATGAAATGGCCTGTCCTGATCGGCTATTGCTAGGACTGGGGATTGTATCAAGCTCTGCTTGATACCATCAAAGGAGCGTTGACATTCAGCATTACATAACCACCTCTCGTTCTTTTTCAACAAACGAGAGAGGTGCACAGTCATCTCGGCGTAATTGCGTGAATACTTATGCAAATACGCCGCTAGCCCGAGGAATTTTCGAAGACCTTTGACATCGACCGGCACAGTCCAGTCGGTGATCGCCTTGATCTTTTCGGTATCAGGGCGTACACCGTTCTTACCAACAATGCACCCAAGAAGTGGTATTTCGTTTGCTGCAAATATACACTTCTTGAGGTTTGCATACAATTGATGCTTTCGCATGATTGTAAGAACCTGTCGGACGTGGTATCTGTGAACCTCAACGTTCGACTTTCCATTCATAGCCCGACTATGGGTGAATACGTCATCGAAATAACTCGGTGTGAATTCTCGCACTGGTCTCAACAGATGTGATACACATCTGTTGAACGTGACAGGGGCATTACTAAGCCCTAGTGGCATTACTAGCCATTCTCAGAGCATGCCGCTAGGCGTTCTCAATGCGGTATAGCGTATGTCCCGTTCTCGCATAATGATTTGATAGAAGCCATCCATCAAATCCTTGGACGAAAAGATGGTACTCTTTGACATACCATCAATGATGACGTCCTTCCTTGGTATCGGCGTCTGAGCCGGTACTGTTGCAGCATTCAACTTGTTAAATGTATGCACTATCCGCCACCCTCCTGTTGCTTTTCGCACACAGAAGGCCGGAGAGCTATGTGGGGAAGTTGATTCACTCACATGGCCCGCAGCTAAACGATCGGCAAAGAGCTTGTCGATCGCAAGTACTTGTTCACGAGGCAGTGGCCGCTGCTTCATGACACAGTACTTCGAGCCTAGTTTAAGCTCGACCTCGTGTCGAATACCTTTATCCTTCGGTAATTCGCACGGAACAGTTTCAGGGAATACATCCTTGAATTCAACCAAATCTTCATAGAGAGGATTTTTCTTGAGCGATTCCCACGATTGGGAGTCATATCGCTCAATTCGTGTCTTTTCATCTAGGACACTCTCGTCCATAGATGAACTACTGATAACTCTCTCGTTCTCAGTAAACACTGTTGCTGACCTTATGTCTGATACACACTCGTCGTCAGCTACGAGTACGCAGATCTGCTTGACTTTGCCACTACGCAGATCACGCAAGAACCTTTTATGTTCGAGCGTTGGCAACTGAGTGATCTCCGAAGTCAACTTCGGAGGCGCAATCAGATCAAGTGTATAAGCGCCTACACTTGATCCGTTATTGACTATGACATTCAATGTCTCTGTCATTTCCTGGGGACTTATTCCCTCAGGCTTCGAAGGACTTATTCCTTCGGCTTCCCGGGGACTTATTCCCACGGGTTTCGGGGAACTTATTTCCGCCGTATTTGTAATCTTGGGACTTATTCCCTTTACTTCCTCTAGCTGGGGTTGCGCAACCACAGCGAGATCCTCTACGAAAGACTCTCCAGTCGATCTAGGATTATCGTTTCGCTTAACCTGAGCGATCGATTGTTTCTCTTCTAGATGTTCCCCGCTAGGGATTCATCTTTGTTCTGGTCCACTCGACTTATTCAAGTGGTGGACCTTCGGCGCAGCCTGTGTTTCCTCCCAGCCGCCGGAACTTTGCTCCGAAGTGTAACCGTTTGGTACACTAAGGTTTTGTGCAGTCGTACTAACGACCGTACCACAAGTGAGGCCATCGCACTCACTCGTAGTACATCCACACGCTTGTGGACGCTCCAAAACGTTCATCAGATGGCCATCTGATGAACAAGCGGCAGGCATCGTTACTGTCCGATGTTGCCAGTTTACTCGTGGTTTGTACCTTCTGAGCCACGGTATTCCAAGGATGACATCAAATTTGTCATCCAAATCCAATACGATAAAGTCATTATCATATTGGGTATCTTCTAGCGTATAGTGGATCTTCACTATACGCTTCATGACGGTTACGGATGCGCCTGCCGCAAGACGTACCGTCATCTCGTAGAAGGTGTGTCACATTCACTGAACTTAAAATGACCATCTTCTAGTGATTGGCGTCGCACAAAATTGTTGGACGCCCCACAATCGACTAGAGCTCGAAGGGACAACTCATTTGTCACTTCGAGTTTCAAGATAATGAGTGAGACCTCATTACCTAGAGCAGCAACGCACAACGTTTGTGTGTTGGGAGCAACCTTCATCAAGAGGCCTACAAATTCTCTTGACGTTGCTAGACCAGTAGGGTGCTCCGCACCTACTGATCCTGTCCGTTTTTTGAAGGTCCATCCCGTTGTTGCGTCTTTGCACCAACTGCGGACCCTCGTCCCTGCCCCTTTCTCATGGGTGGACGTTCACTACGCCCAGTGTCGCGAGACACTGGACGAGGGGCACTACACTCGTAAGCGTAGTGTCCTGTCTTTTGACATCTGTTGCATCTCTGCAACTTCTTGTAGCCTGTAGAGCGAGCCTTCTCGCTCTCTACATAACAGAGTTCCATCGGCTCTGGACCTCCGCTGTCATATCGTCTCGGTTGACGATATGATGTCGAGCTGGCGCGAGCCTGTCTCAGACTTAAGTCTTCCTGTTCCGCAATGGAAATGGCTTGTTCCAGTGAATCTAGTTCAAGCCGGAACAGGTGAGTCTTGACGGGACCATCCGCAAGACCCTGCATGAACACCGAAACCAACGTGTGTTCATCCACCGGATTGGAACTTATACAACTCGTAAGATGTCGTATATGTTGGGCGTAAGCGTGCACATCACGCTTACCCAGATTGAGCTTCAAGAGTTCGGTTCGAGCTCTGAACTCAGCTACAGGTGGTTCAAACGTTTGTCTGAGCCGCGACTTGAAGACTTCCAACGACCCAAACGCATATGGGTCGTGCAACTTGAGCCCCAGTGCCCAAGTCTTGGCACGTCCTGCCAGATTTGACTGGGCAAATCCAACTTGCATATCCCCATCGTCGATGCGACGCGCCCTTATGGCGTCATCCAATTCGACGAACCATCTCAAGAGGGAGTCTTCTTCGACTCCCCTATACTTGGAGATGTCAATCTTCAAGGTTTCGGGTCGACGCGAGTGCATCGACCCACCAGCAGCAGCCTGCTGCTGTCTCAACAGTTCAAACTGTTGAGCACCCTGTTCTCTCAACAACTCTGCTTGTTGAGAACCTTGTTGGTGA